TCAGCAACACTTCCATTGTCATCTAGGTTAACAGTACTACCCTCTCCACTCCCTTTCAGTGCCTTGATTTCCACTTGCCCACCACCATGGACATCAGTGAAGAGATCCAACATCTGATCACATGGCAGACTGCATATCTATGTCTTCAGCTGTAGGATCTGAAATTATCTACAACTCTACACGTATGTCGATCAGTGGTCCTCCCTACCCTGGTGTATGGCAGCAAGACATGGGTCACACAAAGGAGACATATCAAGGCACTTGAGAACTTTCACCAATGTTGTCTATGTTCTGTCTCTAAGTCTGCTGGGAAAACAAGAGAACAAATTCCATTATAGGAGCATTGAGGTTGACTTTATCCATGAACAACTACAGTACCGGACATTGTACTGACCATATTACCCGCATGGATGACAGTATAAGGCCAAAGCTGACGCAATGCAATTCTGACAGGCAAAAAAAAAGGGTATAAGGGTAGTTTTAAGAGAAACCTGAAAAAGTGCCAAATCGACCCCTTCACCTGGGAGACGATTACTCCACATTGCCACTTGGAGGAGCACCACACGAGAAGTTGACAATACCGTACAGTATTTTTTAGTTGGCTTGACTGCATACTGCATACAAATGACAGAGTTGGAAAGACACTGCCGCCCCCCCTCCTGCACTAGGTGAAGCCCTCTACATGTGGAACATCTACGGACAACCCTGCTGGTCCCATATCGGCCTCGTGAGCCGCCTCAGAAATAAAAAATGAAGGTTGACATCATCACAAAATATCTGCCAAACATCAGGTAATGATTTGGCTATTTTGAGTAAAAAAATGTTAAATCAACATGGTTCCAATTCTTGACTACTGTATTATGTAACTACCAGCTTAATGTACCATTTATTATTGAGGCTGATTAACATACAGTATTAAACATGATGGCGCTCCACTTCAATACGGTCGACAAGTCACAGAATACATGTACAGTACATGAAATGCTGCTATGGAAATCGTTTGATTGGTCGTGGGAGACCTCAGGCCTGGACCACCCTCCCCTTGAGAATTTTATATGGGAATACATGTAGGACCTGGTGTATTGAGAAATCAAACAAGGGATGAACTCTTGCAGCCTATCGTGGATAATGCTGCTCATGTAGGTAACTTCAAACAGCACCTAGCAAAAGTGACTTAGTAACTAATAAAATACAATAAATTTAAATGTAGCTATTAAGATATTCAAATAAGGTAGTTTTATTCAATCAATCATTTTCTCTGCATTTATGTGTGTCACGTTCATATCCACATTATGCCTATTACACCTACGGTAGGAGAGGCCAAGTGGAAAAGGCAATAGCTCCATAACGGTCGAGAATTGGAACCATGGTCATTAACATTTTAACTCAATAAGCCAATTGTACAGGACTGTACATTTAAAATTGTGATAATTGCAACATTGCAGCAAGTTCTATATCTTACTCATTTTCCTTGAGATTTGGATTGTTCTGTATAATCATATACTGTACATAAATGTAATTCATACCATATACAGTAGGAATAGCATCAGTAATGTAATGTATTCTAACCTCACCTTTCTTTGTATGGCTTAATCAAACAATTATCCCTGTGTGTGTGTGTGTGTGTGTGTGTGTGTGTGTGTGTGTGTGTGTGTGTGTGTGTGTGTGTGTGTGTGTGTGTGTGTGTGCAGGTAGCCACCTGGAAACAGAAATTTGTAAGATTCAAGCACTTTTGTAATTATTCACACCTTCAGGGAGTACTGTACAGTAGCAGTACAATGCTGCTTAACATGTGAATATAATACAGCACAGTACTGTTATAAAAAAAGCACTTGAATCATTTCGTGTGTATGTTTCCTGGTGGTTAATTGCCTATAAGATGAAACAATTTGTCATGTGTTCATATCAGCTGTTTATCTTTACATGTTATTTCAGTTTTTCCAGAACTTAATAGATGCTCAAACTTACATTACAGCAAGTCCACAATATTTTTCTGGCAATCTTATAATAATTTAATATGAACTGAATGATTAACAGGGGCCAAAAAGGGCTTCTATTACCTAGGTACTGTATGCATAAATGAACAAGTTTATTTTTAATATTTGTCCAAGACAGCAAGCTTTATGAAAATGATATTCCTCTCCTTTTTAACACCTTTGATACTGGTGGTAGCTTGAATCTTTAATGCCTAAGTACTTCCTGTTTACATAATAACAGTATAAATCATGAGTCTTGTTAGAAAGCATTTTCATACTCGTCACTCTTCTAGCCACTGTATGGGAACTTATATATTTTAATTGTTCCAGACTTTAAATTATGATTAAACTGTATGTACAGGTATTTTATGATATAGTATACCGTACCTGTCTTCGTCATACTTATGTTACATTCTTATAGAGATTTAAAATCCTATTTAATTGGGAGACAAAAATTATGGTACCAATACTTAAGACAGTTTTAATTTTGCATTCACTATACAGTATATAAAGTGTACATTTATTTCTAATTAGTTTTACATATTCCGGTGAGTATCATGTCCATGTGATTGTGCTAGTGTTGTACTTATATGATAAATTTTGTGCTTCCAATTCATTTTTACATGATATATCCATGTCTGAGGTTTTAAAATATTTCAAAACCTCAAGAAATAAAAATATGAGTGAAAATTTCAGTTTATGGTATGACACACCGGGAGGAATCCTGTAGTATAGTACAGTATAGTAATGCACAACGAATTACTAAAATTACTCTTATTAAAACAACTGTGATCTTTATGCCTTCCATGTGTATTTAAAATTGTGAATTAAGGCCTTGAATTTTATACCTGCTTAAAAAGATGATTCCATTTTCTACATACTTTTTGAAAGGGATAGTATTTTTGGTACTTTTGTAAAATGCTTTGTAGCTTTTCTAATAAAGATTAGCAATTAATGTGACTCTTATTTATGCCAAGTTATCAGTTGTACTGTTACAGTACTGAAGTTCCTTTTTAAAGCAACCAGTAGAATGAAGCAAATAATTATTTATTTAATGTATAGACTTAGTTAATTTCCTACAGGATATTTTTATGGAAATTAATTGCCCAATAATGCATGTACAGTACTGTAGATACAAATACAGTATGAAGCTTATGATTGATACAAATATTAAAGGGGAAATTTTCAGAGAACCTTAAATGCGAGATTCCTAAATGATCAACCAGATAAAACTTGAAAATTGTGAAAAATATCACTCCTTTCAAACTGCATTTTTTTTAAACTGGCTTTGGCACAAGCAAAATGCTTGAGAGAATTGTACTGTATATTGTTTTTATGATCTTTTGATACAACTCATACCCGGTACAGGTTTTGATATTTGCGATAAGGGTATATATACCTCGGGAAGATGTTCACAACAGAATGTCATTAAATATTAGAGACTTTGTGGATATTGTTTGTCATGAGACACTTTTTAGCTATACAGTACAGTTAGTCACAAAGTTGCAGTATTTGCTCATTACATTCAGTTTTTTTGAACTGATGTTTGCTTCTGAAAATTCCACATGCAGTACAGGACAGTACAGTACATCATTAATAAAGCAGATAACCTCTCATACATTTTTTCCACATGACTTTTGGGAACACCATAATTGTGTATGGGAATACGAGTATAGTACTAGACACTATTGAACACAATTTTCATTTTACTCTTAATAAATTGGGATTTTCTCTTTCATAACATCAATATTGTATACAGTCCCAGACTAAAATTTTATTTGAAAAGTTTTTAATCAGAAGTTATTTTGTGTGAAATTAATATTATTTGTTTAGTAGTTATTGCTTTTTCTTTATAATAGGTGTCTAAATGAATTACACATTTCATTTTCTCAAGGTGGCGGTTATAAGGTAAATAGTGTTATATTATCAGGTATGCTACTTTAATTACTCAGCAGATCAGTTCAACAGTTAAAGTAAAATTATTCATGAATATATCCTTACCTCAGTCTCCTAACAATTTTGCTTGACATTTGTAAACAGTGTCATATAAATATCGAGATGATGTGACAGAAGGTTTTGAAATGAGTTCTCTCGTGCACAAATGGGCTATGCAATTAGCCAAATTGTGGTCAGAACTTGTCTAGAAATGTTGTTGATGTATACCCTACTGGCAAAGCTTGTACAGTACTATGTTGAAATTTTAATCTGCTGAGTAAACAAAATATTTGGACATTGTTTTAATCAGCATGTGCAGTATGTTATGTGCATGTGTTTGTTCTTGTTTGTAAAAAAAAAAAAGCTTAGTGTATTAAACAGTGCATGTCTTCTTCAGTTACTAAGTTTTTATAATTTTGCAGAATGAATCAGTTCCCAGAATTTGTTTTCTTACGATTGGTTGCATATACAGTAAATGAAAAGTAATGTTGGTAGTTTTATTTATTGTTTGTTTCCCGGGTAGAATTGTTGTGCAGATGACAGCTTGATGTAATACAGAATTAGTACTCTGGATTGTTATGTACGATTGATTTATTGTGAATTTATTGCAGTGCTTCAATTTGCATGCCGTAGAGCTTGGAAATTTACAGCGAGTAGTACATTACCGTACTATACAAAATCTTAGTTCACTTTATTGCTTTTGATTTTGACATCCCTCTTAAGCCTTGGTGTATTGAAATGCATATTTTAGCTTGATATTAATCAAAACCTTATTATGGTTTGTCTTGCTCTATATTTTTGTCTTGTGTTTTATTTTAATTTGGATTTGTTCTTGTAACATATACAAAAGAATTTGCAGATAAATTTAGTCTGTTAATTTTAATTATAGAATGATAAGAAAATAGTTGACTTTTTTTTCTTAGGTAAAGTAAAAGCATCTGATTGTAATGCGAGTCATTCTTAAATTACTCAAATTTTAAATTTGTGGTGTAAATTAATAAAAAAAATGTCAGATTACCAAATTTTTGCTGTTTAAATTTCTAATGAGGTTTCAATTTCTGTATTTATTAATGCCAGTATTAACCTCAGGAGGAGGATGATGGTGACCCAGCCAGCAGCAGTAGTGATGGTGTTCGTGTGCCAATGATATCCGTACCTTCTTCCCTTGGCAGTCCAAATGGCCCACCGTTACTCACCCCAATTTCCCAGGTGAGGTCTATGTTAAAATTTTATGTAGAAGGTGACAACAATAGTGCTATCTTCTTATTTTTAATTCTAGTTATAGATGATTATTTTTAGATAAAAATCATAATATACAGGATACAGTACTGCATACTGTACAGAACTGTATATGGGTATTCATAAAAGAAATGCTGTACTGTACCTACATTACCTTAGTTTGTAGGTTGATAGAATAACTTTTTTAATACTTGTCTCTATTTCACAAGTTATTCAGATGTTTACCTCCCAGTAGGAAATTCTTTTGCCAAAGATGGTGATCTCAGAGTCTTCCTCAGATATTTTGGTAATTTATATGTGTTAAATAATTTAAGAATATTTTTGTTACTTGCACAAGATTCCCATGTAAGGTCAGCAAGGGCCCTTTATTTGAAGTGGGTACAGTTTGCTTATACTGTACCTTTCCTGAGAAATGAGAATGTGTAATCAGGATGAATGTTGCCTCAATAAATATACAGTATACAAACTGGAATCTAAAGGATACAGTATATAGTAATGAGGAAAATACAGATAGGCGTGAGTAAGGGGAAAAGGTTATAATGGTAAAGAAATCTCTGAAGAGAGAATTAGAGAATTATTTGTAAAATTTGATAGTATTTATAGGTACAGTATATACATTACAGGTACCTGTAATATAAATTGTAATTTTCATTTAAAATCAATGTGCAGACATGAATGAACCTAAAGGATAATGTTCATTGAGCTAAAATGAAACATTACAGTCTGATATTAAAAGAATCAAAATGGTGAGTTATACTTTTAAAGCACTGAAGACAGCTAACCTAAATTAATGTAAGACAGTTAAAGAGTTGGATAATGAAGGCAGGGCCTATAGGAATGTGTACTACAACATAGAGAAGAATGTTTGTATATTAAATAAAATTGCAATGAGTGTAATGTAACTGAGTGAAGCATAGAAGTTTATAGAATGTCAATGGAGGAAGTACTGTAGTGGTGTAATAAAATGAGCAAGGAGAGGCAAGAGAATTTATAGAACAAAGGATGCATACAGTATGTGGTAGAGCATAAATTAAATATATGCACATTAATATGGGACTGAAACAAGAGAATTGTACAGCATTTAAGGTTAGCTGGTAGTAGTACATGCACCAACAAATTGCTAAAAAGTTGAACTAGAGTTTTTAGAATACAGTAAACTGATTTCATTAAGGAAGGGTATAATGACTGATGATACAGTACTGTATTAATAAAAATTTATATTTATTCAATTTGACCAAGGAGAGGTGACAAAGGCATCATATGTTTATTTCCAGTAGGGTTCTTTAGTTTAAATGTTAGAAGCATCAGGTGTTACAAGGTAGTCACCCATCCAAGTACTAACCAGACCCTATGTTGATTAACCTCAGTAACTGGACGATAAGCGATGTTTTCAATGTGAAAAAGTGTTGTGATATGCAAATAAAAGAAAAGGAGTTTATTGGATTTGTGCATGTTGAATAAAATCTACTTCATTGATGCTTTGACAATTTTTACCAATTTGTTCCTGTTGATGTGTAAGCTGTTTTGGGAGATCTGAGATATTTGTCCATGTCCCAACTGGTAATTATCCCTTAAAAAGACACACACATCATGGCAGCTCTGATCACATTTATAATTGTTGAGTCAATCTGCCATTTTGGATTTTATCACTGGTTGACTGCCTCAGAGAGTAGATATCTTTATATAAGTTCTGTCTACCAATGTTGAGCTAAGTGTCATGCCCTAATTTGTTTGCACTTTTAAGATTAGGTAGTGAATTTTATGGTTCTAGTTGTAAGTGTTGTAATTCAGGTCAGACTAACATTTTACCTTTCTATAAGTCCGGGTCAGTGTGCCAGCAAGTGGGCTGGCCTTAGCACAAGGGTCTGTTACCTGCTTTGCATTGATAAAGCAGTACAGTACCTCAGACACCCACCAAGTGACTGGCATCTGTAGTAACAGAAGAAAAATTTTCTTATTTCATGGTCCCAAAAAGAAGGTAACTTTTTAGGAAGCTTTTGGTTGTAATGTTATTTAAGAACTTAATTCAGGTATTTAATCTTGGCTGTTTTCTGTTAGGTATGCCTTTCATGTCTTAAAAGCCTTGCAAAGTTGTAGAATTTTCCTGATTTAAAAGAAATGTATGAAAATTGATGAAATTATCATTATGATACATGTTGCATTAGTCCAGCAGCATTTCCCAGCCCTGTGTGTACAACACTAGGATGGCTCTGCTTTTAGGCTTTTCCCTTCCTTGACCGATGCATTAGTATAGGAAGAGAGAATTAACTTGGACAATTTTCTGTCTACAGTAGGATTCTTTCCAATCCCTAGACAACAATGGATGCCAAGTGTGGGTCCTGATAAGTTATAGTTATTGGTGATAATTTGGAATACTGTACTGTACTTCATATTATGAAGAGCAGGTTCTCTGTGGAACATTGAGGTTTCTGTAGTAGTTAAGAACTCTATTAACTTCCTGGTAATTGTGACCATTTATTTTGCTAAGATGTTGGTGCCAGGATAGGATTTTTTTTTTTCCAGGCTCAGGTGATGGTGTTTTTTTTTTTTTATCACGGAATTGCCCCATTGTAAGACTTACGGGCGATATGGATTGCTCACCGACACCCAGTCTCTTTTATCACCAGTTCCTCGGGAAGGTTCACAAACAAATGTGATCAGTTGTTTTTCTGTTCCTCCAGTTCCTATTGTTGTTGTTACAATGTTATTACTTTAAGTGTGTAACAAGGTTAGTAAAACACTAGTCCAACAACATTAAAAATTGTGAGATATAACTTTGTTTCCAGTTGCTAACATACTAAGAATTGATCTCCTATCATGTTTTGGCTTTGGCCACAGACTATTTGGTAACTTTCTCCAACCTCTAGTCAGATGCTATAGTAAGTTGTGATCTTCCTATTTTCTGGATCTCACATGTCCATGTCTGTTATTATATTACTGTAGATTAGTTACTTGTTTTATTTTTGTGTGCCAGTCCACATAGTACTGAGTTAGCTATTCTTGAAGACAGTTTCATGTGATCAAAGGGGGTCCCATGTACAGCTTGGTTAGCCTGTCAATTGGTCCAGCCATGCTCAGAGTATATTATCAGCCTTTTGGTTCCCATGTTCTTTAAGTAAACTTTTACTTATTGTTGTTGTTATTATTATGTGTGATATATATATCATAGGAGCACTGTTTACTGGTTGCTCATATTTTCGGAGGGTCCAGGGAATCCAAAGACTTGTACAGTACATTACTGTACATGAGAAATAGGGATTTACTTGAACAGTTGAGAACTCCTTGATGTGTTGATAGTGCCACCACCTTTCCAGTTGATGTTAAACTAGAATAGTGAATTGATCCTAAAAAAAGAATATGGGTGTTTCTTGCTAGTTTTTAATCCATGATAAAAAAAATTAGTAAGAATGAAAAAAATCTCGTCTGTCCTGATAATTTCAAAAAGTTCAAGATGAGACTCGACAATCATGGTCAAACTGGACTGTTGTCCCATGATCCTGGCCAACCTGGGATGCATCCCCCACGGTCATTGCCAAACTAGGATGTTTCCCCATGTTCATATCCAAACTGGGATGTGACCCCAAGATCATGGCTAAGCTGGGATGTGTTCCTTTAATCATGGCTAAACAATGATGTGATTCCATAATCATGGCCAAGCAATATCCAGTATCAATTTGTTTATAAACCTCATATTGCCATATATATGCATAGAAAATTTACTAAATAATTAAACTTAAAATACTAGCCTGAGTATGGTAGCAAGGAAATTTTGAAAACCACTAGCTAAGAGTTACCAGTGTCTTTCCAACCAGCCTGACTTTTAGCCATTTCTTTGGTATATGATAATGAATCTACAGTATTTAAAAAAAGTTAAACTTTACTCATTTACAGGCTCGGCAGTGTCAGCTTTGTCTTGTTACTCTTGCAAATGCAAACCTCCTCCGCCGCCATGTAGAGGATCACCATTTCCACATACGCAAGTATGACTGTGTTCATTGTGGAAAAAAGTTCAAGAGGAAAGAACACAAAGAAAGACACGAGCGAATTCATACTGGTGAAAAACCATTTGTGTGTCATATCTGTAATGCCAGGTAGGTAGTTCTGTTACTTATTTATTATGTTTAGTTTACATTATTAGATGTTGTTCACTAAAGACTCATCAGAGATTTTAATAATGCAAGCTATTTATTATTTGTATTTATCATATTTTGCTTAATACAGTACAGTATTAACCTTTGTCATGCCAGCCCAGCCTGCATCACAAGAGCACAGAATAACGAAGGATTACAGCTTATACCCTTTAAATCATTCTTAAACGAACATATAATTTGACCCTAGCTTTTGAGAAGTACTTGGAATAATCCTAGACATAATTTGTAGCAAGACAACACCAATAAGTCTTGGCTGTGAGCCCGTGACCACCACCACAACAGCTGACGTTATGAACAGTGTTACCATCTCTGAAACTAAATTCCCTCCAGTTACCAACTCCTATGAGAAATAAGATAAAAAAAATACTGTACTGTATTGCCATTTGCCCCTCCCCTCTTAGCGCGAACTCTTAACACATGGAGAAAGTTTAATCTGTTTTATGTTTTTACTTGTGATAATTTTCTTAAATATTCTGTATGTAATATTGTGTGTGCATGAAAAAAAAATACATGTACTGTATAGTATCTCCCAAAATGACAAGTTTAAATATAACCATAACAAATCTGGCAGCTTGACCTGGATATGGCTATAGTGATGAGTCTGGTGTTACTATTACAAATGCAAAACTAATATAAAATACAGGTACTGGAAAACAAGCAAAACAAAAAACAAAACAAGGAATATTATCACAGATGTAAAGTAACAGCCTACAAGGTAAGTCATATTAAGGCTGAAGCAAACTCACGACTACTGTACCTCCTTTACCAGCATTCATAGACCATACCGCCTACCTCATGTTATTAACAATTACTGCACAGTATATACAATCAAGATGGAAAAAATGCAGCTAAACCCATTAAGAAAAGGCTAAATGAAAGTTTTACACAACCACCATGCATAGACTCTGGCTGCTTGGCTGTTTCAACACTTGCCACTCACCATAGAAATGCCCTCCCCCTCCACACACTTCGCTCCCCTAGCTCAGCCTTAAAACTCGCACTCAAAGAAATGTTTATTCCCTATATGTTTGTCCTTATGATATTTTTATTATTATTTTATTTATTTTTTTAACATTACAGTACAGTACAGTACATTAAATATGTAGAATTGTGTGTGCATGTAACTGAGTAAAAAAATAAATTACATATAGGTATATCTATTAAAAATTGTGAGTGGAAAATAACCTAAACACCTCACAGCTCAATATAGTTCAATCCATTACTTTTTGCATACAAATTTTATCATGAAAACTACTGTACAGTACTCAAGTATATATGGTACTGTATACTGTTCACATCCCCTTTATCGCACACTACACAAAGCTATTCATGCCCCAAACACACACGTTGGGATTCAGGAACCTTAAAAAAATCTTCTCTGCAGTTCTGAAAGCTTCTAGAATCTACAACCTTACCTGCATCTATTAACATTTTAAATAAAAAACATCTGAATTTTCTGAAAGTATATTGTAAGTATGATAGTTTTACTTGAACTAAATTATAATGAGCTTAAATAACCAATTTATGTTAGTGTAATATCCTGACTGTTTTGAACAGTTGTGCTTGATAGGGATGTCTGAATAATGGATTCCGTCCAATAAACGACATCGCTGTGGCTTAATGAGGCTGGTACAGTACTCGTGTTTTTTACTGTATATACAGTGGGGTATGCTATAACGAATCTAATTGGTTCTAGAACCTTGTTCGTTATAGCATTCATTTGTTATAGGATTAATCCGTTCCAGGCCCCCCAAATACAACCACTTAACACTGAAAAATATAATATAAAATTGTAAAAATTGTAAAAAAGTGCATAAATATGCATCTAAACCCCTGAAATAAAGAATATCGTAAATACTTGTAGTACAGAAACAATAAATTAGTAAAAAAGAAAAAAAAAAATTTTAATAATGTTCGTTGTAGGAGTTTCGTTCGTTATAGCATTCTCAATTTTATAGGTAAAACCGTTCGTTATAGGAATATTCGTAGTAGGATCTGTTCGTTATAGCATACCCCACTGTACTATATATTTGTCCTAAGTCATTGCTCCTTGGATTTTTATGCAGCAAGGTGGAGGATTAGGTTGCCTTTAGTGGTATACAGTTGTAGAAGTACAGTAGTATCTTTTTGAAACTTCAACCAAACTACACTACAGTATTTCTCAACCATTAATATAATATCATGTAGCCTTACAGTTTGACTCTAGAAGCTAATTTTCTTTTTCAGGTTTACACAAAAGGAGCACCTGAAAGGTCACATTGAGAATGTTCATCATAAACATGGTGAAAAAGGCTTAGATGGAATGGGAGACTATGACAAAGATATAGATGATCGGGAAGACAGAGAAGAGGACGACTTGGATATGCCAGCCCCTTCATCCTCCCCTCCCTCCTCCACCTCATCACCATCCCTTGCCCCTGTCTCTTCTCTTATAGCTTTGGCTTCTTCTGCTTCACCATTGACATCTATATTACCTACATCTTCCCTCCTTACCAGCACTGCATCTATCATGGCAACTACAGCTCCAACTCTCATACCATCCATGACAACCACATCATCATCATCCATCACCTCACCAGCGTTGATGCCGTCATCAATGTCCAATGATCTCAACATGAACCAGTTCACTGCACTTTATGCGCCAGTTACTCGAAAGACAGTGAATTCACCAAACAAACATATGCAAACTATTACTATCAATTTCAATTAGTGCCAGTTAATTTATGTGTTTTGTAATTATTCAACATTTTCTAGATTTTTGTAAATTATTTTGGACTCACTGCCATTTAGTGATGATGACTGTTAAGTCATCATATTCTCTGTGCTTTTGCATTAAACTTGTGATTTATCTTCATCAGTCTTTCCAGACATTCAAAATAAGACATTCTATTGTGCTAAGGGAAATGTATGTTCCTTATGATTACTATAAAAATAGTTACCATAAATTTACCAAAAATTACACCTCTCAATTAGGTAACACCAAGGTAGCAAATAGTAAAGTGCTAGAAAACTGGGTGCAGATCATAAGCTCTGTATAGTCCCTGAGTAATTTATTTTGTAATGCTTAATTATTAGGTAATTTTTCCCTCATTAACCTTTTTGTTTTAATTGACATCATACCTTTGAAATTTAAGTCAAAGCTCAAAGAGCCATAAATTTTTTTTAGAACTTTATGCCAAGGAGAGTAAAGGTGTAACTAAAAACAACAAAAGACAAATTTTCATCTTGAATCATTCCATAGCAAATGCTTTAAGTTACTAACTTCTTTTATGACTATGAGTTCTACTGGGAAAGTGCTGGCTTGGTGCCTTACATGTACTGCAGATCTGTGATAAAACTTTTTCAGTGCTTATGATACATCACTGTTTTTCATAAAAGAAATACCTTGATTTTGTGCATAATATTTAAAACTGTGAGTATTATAACATAATAGTGCTGTTGACATAATTAAAGGATCATATTTACAGAAAGAAACCTGTCAGAAATTTGGTTTTTGCACAGATTGATTTGAATATGGGCATTGTGGTCTGATAAAAGCCAGTTGTAGCCAAATATATGAAAGCCGATATTTGATCTTGGAAGATGAGCTGTCTTGTGTGTGTGAAGCTTATGGGGGTTTGTTACATGACTAATCTGAGTTCCAAATTGGTCACCCTAAATTTAAGAGGTTGCTGCTCATTCCAGTGTTTTAAGAAATCATTTTTATGCCAATTTACATTATCTACATGCCCCATACATGAGAAAATTTTGGCATGATAAAAGCTGGTCCCAATATATATTGGCAAATAAAGTCTTTGATAAGAATTCAAGTTTAATTTAAGTGACAATAAATTTATCAGATTATTGACCTATGTTACATGATAGATTATATTTGTATATATCTCCACTATTATTCTGATGAAAACCTGGAAGAGTAATGCTTTCTCAAATACAAATCTGAGAATGTGTAGTGAAAGTGTTCTCATTATTCAGTAATTTACTTGTGATGTGAATATCAACCTAGATAGATGACCTGTGATGAATTATGGTGCTGGTACCTTGTCACTCTCTCATCCTCCATCTGAGATTGGCTAAACCAATTTATCCCAACTAGAGGTGGCCACAGATTCACACTGGCTCACAATGCACATAAACAGTAGTCATACAACATGTGACTAAAGAGCAAGTAATTTTAATCCAAGAATAATCCAAGAGATCCATATGAGGCTTATTTCCAGAGGTACTTGTGCTAGGAAAAGATGGCTTGACAATGAATCTGTTATTAAGCAGAATCATTTCTATAGATCAATGACAGAAGAATTACTTTGATGCCCTACAAATATTATAGTGAATAGAACTGCAAGATAGCTCAGCTTCACTTGGGCATTATTTAATATTGCTCACATAATAATCTCAAATATTCCATTCTTTGTATGTTGATCAGTTCATATTATTCATCATGTTGGTGCTTATGATTTTGAACTTTATTAAAAAAGTTATTAATGAGAATAGTGATAATTATGTTCTTCATAATAGTAAAGAAGGAGCTGCCTAACTTTATATCAAACATAACGATGCCAGTGCCTTAGTAACTGCTTCCAATTTAGACTAGTGTAAATCCTTAGCAACCAAACATTCCTAAGTTATTTTCAAACTGTTAAACTTTAAGATTAGGTATACCTTTCCACAGTATATATAAAGGTAAAGAGAAAGAAAAGTCGTATTTTGTTAAGTGAACCCTAGAAGTTTAAATACGTACTTTAATTTACAACCATGCTTGAGGTATAAAAATAAAGATTAGCTTTGGAAATTAGTATCAGTATGAATATTTTCATGCAATTTATTGTGGTAAATGATGACAAGATCTTTTATTAGAATGTCTTTCTTTAAAATCTGCAATTTGACATGTTTGACTGTATCTTAGGTATATACTTGAATGAAAGCCAGTAGACTTATGCAAGCGTTGGACAAGTTAGACTTAAGAGATGCTCAACAGTAATTAGAGTAACCTATCAACCATTGACTACTCTTAGCTCTATTATTATTAATTATGGACATAATTGAGAGGCGAGTCATGCTAGGTTGCACATGAAGTATGTGTTAACCTTCCATGGTCATCAGTGTCTTTTAAATATAAAGTAAGTAATTATAAGAATTAGTTGCTGTACAAACAATTGAAACTGTGTCCACTTCTCCTAAATGGATACAGCTACAGTTGCCAATATCTTTTTATGTTAGTTTTCCTTTGTATGTGAATTTAGAGAATATTCCAGTTGATTTGGTTAAGAGAGTCTATGCAGACATCCCATTAATAGTGTGTTAACATTGGATATGCTGTACTTACGGATAATTCCCACCTATATGTTGATACGTTGAATTTTTATATATTTTCTATATTACTAGTTCCTGTATCTTACTTGATTTATATTGCTTTGTCACAAGTAATCACTGAAGTCTGGTTTATATTTTGATATGAGAAATTCATTTATTTCAATTAAAAGGTTTTGGAAGAAAATTTCCCTCTTATAAATTGTGATGAAGCAAAGGATTTTTTTTTCTTCAGAATACTGAAATAGTAAATAATTTCCTTTTAGATTTTTTATATATTAATTTTTCAGTTATTATATCCGTATTTTTACTGATCTTGAACTTGTTTCTTATCTGTGAAAATCTCCTTTTTGTTCAATGAATTTTTCTTCATATATGTTTATTAAGACACTGTGTTATTGAGTTGTAAAAGATGGTTATATGCAGTATGTTGAAAACTGAGCCACATATTTTGTTAACATTTCTGCAGAGGGTTTAATGCTTGCTCAGTTGTGTGAGGTATTTATGTATGAATTGTGCATTTCTTGCTTTCTATCATCTCAATACAGACTGAAACATTTTAAGTTGTGTAAAATGATAGCTCTGCTCATATGGCTGCTGATTGCTGAAATTTACTTTCATTTCAATGACAAATCAATAATATTGGTGTTAATTAACATTCAAATGAACAGAACTTGTGCTTTGTGTTATGCATATTGAAATCAATAAATAATAATTATTTACAGGCACTATTAACCTTTGATACTTTTGCAAACAGAAAAAGGCTTTATTATATTTTCTGGTGTAAATTTGTAGTATTATATGAATGATAAAGATGGATATCATTCCAGGTAAGCCTAGTATACACACAAACACCTCTCTAGCACAGCAACACCCAGACAAAGGTATAAAGGGAAAACTCCTCATAATCCCTGATATTTTTAATACCAGTACTTAAAACCTGCAAGTGAAAGTGTAATACTGTACAGTACTTTCATCATTACAAGTTAGTTTTTTTTTTTTTTAATAAGTAAATTTATAATAACTGCACAGGTAACCTAAACCATATACCTGTACTGTACTTTAGTTGTTGATGAAGGGAAGGGTGTAGGAACCCTGTATTTATCAAGTATGTGTGTATGTACTGTCATGAACAAAAGTCCTGTAGCTGCTTCTGCTGTTCCATGATCCCCGAGATTCAGACTTGTGAAGCAGGAGGCACTGATGCATTATTCTATCTATGTTTGATTTGGATTCATGAGTTTGAATCTTGGAGTTTGTAGTTCAGCAAAAGAAGTGACAGGACTTTTGTTCACAACAGGTACATTTACAATAAAATGTGCTATATTCACTTCCAGTACATTTATACAAAATATTGTGAATCGTATAATCTCTGATGCTTATGTATGAGTTGATAACTCTAACATTAAAAACAGTAGAGCAAGCTCATAATAACTTTATAATTTTTTAAGTAATTTATAATTACTGCACAAATAAATCTGAAAATCTAACATTTTCATACTCGTGTAAAAGACAAAGGTCAAAAAAGTTGGCAGAGGTGGTGCACCACCACAACAACCTCAGCTCAAATGAGCTTGGGTGGATTACAGCTGGATGTGCTTTGATTGTCCAAGGTGTAAACAAATTGAAAAATATAATAGGGTATACTGGTACTGCACTACAATGAATGTAAATTTTGAGTAGGTCTATGCGAGAGAGGTGTTACTGCATACAGTTTTCAAGTATTCTTATAGTAAACAGAAGTGAAGCTTCATAATATAAAGTTCATGATACATTATATCAATTTATTTTGATGGTAAATTTACATTGTGAACAATTTGGATCTTGACAGTTCAAATTAATTATCTTTAGCTATTTTCTTCTTTAAAACTTTCATGTTTAAGAAGTAGAGAGAAATATTCTAATTTCCCTGATGCATCAGTGAACATATCTGCAATGAAAGCAGTAATGGCAAGCTATATGGAAGGAGATGATAATGTCATAATTTATGGTCAAACATAATGGTGCCGAGTAATATTATGAGTTGGGTTTAATCCCAATTGGCAGGGTGCTGTTTCTTTAAGTCTGCACACAGTAGTGCCCCCACACAGTGCCCGACAAGGATGCAACTTTGTTTCAGCAAATGTTTATCTTCTTTTATAACTCTTCTCCATATTTATAGATAAATATCTCAACTTCATTTGAGTAGATTTAAATCATTGACAATAAAATACACACACAGCTTGTGTTCCCCCATAATTAATGTACCACAACTGTTCAAGTGTTATACAGTACAGTATGTGAAAATAGATTTTTTGTATGTTAACATACTTCAATCTTTAATTTTTTATTGAAATTGTCAATACAGTATTTAGATTATAAATTTGATTGTTACATAGTTTTTAATGTACTACTGTTTCTATGAATTTTTTTATGAATTATTATGGTGTTATTTATTGTTGATAGAATTTTTCATGGCTCAAGATAAGAAAACTAGCTGCCACAAACATTATTCATATTATTTAGAAATTGGTGCCAGAATTAACAGGCTCCTCATTTAGGATATTGTGTTTTCAAATACCTCCAGTACATCTAGTGCATTTTGTGTCATATTGTAGAGAGCCTGGAGAATCTGGCAAGAAAATTATAAGTTGTAACCATTACTAATTGTAGCATTTGAAAAGACCTAGTACTTTATCAAAAAATCACACTAACTAGTCCCACTGTAATTGCTCTGCTTATATAACTTCACAACATAATGCATTCATTTTTCTTAGGTATGTGAAAGTAGACTTTTTTCACATTGATTCCCCAAATGTCATTTGTCTGATTCTCAAAGCCAACATTCCAGTTACTTAAAGATGCAACATTCCATAGTGATATTATTTTGCTAATATTGTGATGTTTAGTTAAAAAATCATTAGATATGTTTACCTCTATTTAGCTTTAAAGACTATCTTCTTAATAAATTACAGCTTGGTGTTGGGTTCCATAGAGCTTAATAAAAACTGACAGTTGCCAAATAACCTTTATTTTCCCTCTGCTAAAAATAAAGAAAAATTAAACAGAATGGAAGCAAATACTGTACCCTTAACAAATGAAACTATTATTCAATCACTGGACAACAAATACTTCATTCTGCACTGTCCATGACTAAAGCATTACATTCTTATTAATACTAATATTTTTTTCCTATATCTATACAAACATCCCTTGTCATCAACTCACAAACTAATTTCTCATGGGAAAAACTAAGTTATGTTCAGTATCTGCCAAAGAATAACCTTAGATTTTGCCTTTTTTTTTTTTACTATTTTTCATAAATATATTTGTGTTTGTGCACTTATTAATACCTGTACTGTATTTGATTACAACAAGTAATAGCACTATGCAAATAACAAATAATTAAACTTACTTGCTAAAGTATTACAGTATATACATAATTTGGCTGCATGGTGGCAGTACAGTTGGTCCTCATATTACGCGGTCCCGCATTCCGCGTTTCACCGTTAACGCGGTGCCTTGCCAGAACCTAACATTTTCACATTCCGCGGTCGTGAACCCCATTACGCGGAGAGCGGCTGGCAAGCCGCGCCATTTTTGGATCCAAACCTCCCGCCATCCGCCATGTTGTGTAAGAGGCGCGAAAATGGTGCGCACAAGGTCGCCCAGTCATCAAAACATGACCAGTTCTTCACCCGCCACCCACTACAGCCGGCCCAAGTCAGTGATAGTGATAATTATAGTGAGGATATGGACTTATATGAACTTTGGGGGGTTTGACAAAGAGGCCCTGCAAGCCTCTGTGGTGGATAGTGATACAATTGATACAAGTGATACAGGTGAGGGCCAATAATCTGCCCTCTGCCTCGGAACCAACCGCCCATCCCCGTGTGCCCAGCCATCTTTTCTACTAATGTAAGTGTTAAAAAACCTAATATTATTGATATTTCTCTTAATTATTAATTGTGTGTGCATGCCATCATAAAGTTAAGATAATATTTTTACTACAACATAGTTGTGTGTTGTCAAAAAGTGGAGTTTGGGGATCGGCCCGGACTCCATTTCAATTAATCCCATATGTTATGTTATTCACTTTACGCGTTTCTCACTTTCCGCGGTACCCTCCGGGTTACATTAACCGCGTAATATGAGGACCAACTGTACTATTTGCTGCGGCCCAGACATTCAAGAGTGCTTAACGTGTTCTATGCAGTCTGTTATATTACAGAAAATTAAAATGAGCACTTGTTAACTTATGAAGCTTTTTTGTTTACAGGTTCTTGTAAAAAATGTGCTAAAGTAAAACCTTGTTAGCTAAAATCACTAATTAACAGGGGATACCTGTACAGTACTATGTTAATACAGTATACAGTGGCCCCTCGGTTAACGAACTCAATCCGTTCCAGAAGGTCGTTCGTTAACCGAAACGTTCGTTAACCGAAACCATTGTTTCAATGGGTTTTTGGGTAATTGGTTCCAGCTCACCGAAAATTTCCTAAATTCAACAAAAATGGTAGAAAAGTTCACTTACTTTGAGGTGTGTATGTAGAAGGCTCCTGGATGATGATGATGATGATGATGGGATTTAGAATATGGGTGGAGGAGAAGGAAGAAGAGAAGGCATTGGGGTGGAAGAGAAGTCACCCCATGGTGCCGTTTCACCCATAAAATTTTAGCTCTCTGGTTTAATTCAAGATTATTTTCTTTAAATCAACGCTGCACTGCATTATATATTGTCAATATATAAAATATATTTCAAAATGACCAATAATTTGCTTGGAACACAGAAAAAAAGCGTTTAGTTGAAGAGAGTCTCAAGCAAGATGTTACCTCCAGTGAAAACAGAGAGAGACTGACGCCTGTTTGCTGTGTTAAGAGGCTGGATGCCGCGCATTAAACTAGTCACTTTCACCTAATTTTGTTCAATAATTGTTAAAATGACTAAAAATTGAATATTAAACTTTTAAAATTATTGAATAGTATAAACTTTTGATATTTACAAAAATAGTAAGAATTTAGCCCTAGAACCGATAATGTATTGGCGGACTGATACTAAACTGGTTGCCCTGTCAGTGCAAGCGAAAACATGTTGAGGTCGGTTATTAGAGTTAGTTAATTTTTTTGTTAGCAATTGAAGATCCTTATGGAAGGCAGTTCGTTAATCGAAATTACGTTAACCGAGGTGTTCGTTAACGAGGTCACTGTACTGTATTTGTGTTCCCTCTTAACTATTCATACAGGAATATAAAACATCCTCAGATGTCCCTGCTTATTAGAAATGTACCAAAATCAATGCAAAGAACTACATAATTTATTCACAACAGTAAGTTAACTTTTTGGGAAAGTTTTAAGTCTCTATCGTGTATCTCTACACCTCTAAACAGCACAACACCTGTACTGTGATTATTCTTGGTCTCCAGTACAGTATTAAGTTTGATCTGTCTTAGTTGATAAATATTTTATGTATTTCCTCAATGAACTACTTTGTACTTACTAAGCCTTCAACCAACCTTTCTTTTGTTTATTTTTTACCTCTGCATCACTGAGCGTTTGATTTTATCATGTACTACAGTTCTGTAATTATTTATATTTTCCACTAAATATGTTGACAGGGACAAAACACACAAAGTAAATCAGGGTATTACAAGATGTTTGAATTATTGAAGACTTCTTTGCTTCATAATAAATTCAGTTGTGAGACTTTTCTAGCAATAAACACTTCATAATCTGGAGTAAAATAGGCAGGATCAGTCAGAGATATCTAAATATCTAGAAGATTTTGAGAAGTATACAAAGACCGTTCATTACTTTCATACACTAAAATTTGTCTCCTTGTACTGACTTTCAACATAATTTTTCTTACTACTGTGTACTTAATAATTTAACCATTTTGATCAACTCACAATCAGATTTAGATAATTTAGAAGCAATAACTCCCTACACTTATGCCAATTTCCATTCTGTATGTACCATCCCGATTGAACCTCAGGGACATTAAATAGCCTGGCCCATATCCTTATTCATTTCAAACCAATTCATAATAAACATAACAATATAATTCCATGTACCACCTACTAATCATTTGCTCTTTATAACAGTTTTTTTTTAAAGAGGGCAAAAAAGATTACAGGTAATTCTGATTACTGTGGAGAACACCCAATATTAGTTCTTCTAAAACTTCTTAAGAGACATACTTATTAGGTTTGAAGAAGTCACCCTTGCAGGTTAGCAGTAAAATCTTGATGGATGAACATTACAATGGAGGTGGGGCCATTGCATAAGTGTGCTTTCTGCCTTTGGTGGAAGTGAACAAAATCTGAGATGTGTTACAATTAGCCAAATTTGTTTTTTTATTTTGTATAACTTGTTTTAACACCAAAATGTAATTTTGCTACACTAAATGTAAACTATAATAATCAATATCTCTACTTATTACATTAGTAGTGTACAGTATACACTAATACATAGAGTAATACATTCTTAAGCGAACAGAATGTGACATGTACAGCCAAAGAAAAAAGTCGTGTTACACTCACTGTGCCTTCTGTACTGATACCCCATCAATGTCAATGAAGCTTCAAGGTTCAAATCTGAACCACCAAAATTCTCATCGTTTACCAACAGATGGCCTGCATGCTTGTACTATTTCCCGATGTTCAGGAGTCGATGAGTGTTGTGATGGCACCGAGTGTGGGCTCATTCAAGACCACACTTGACCAACACTGGTGCAGGCACAGATACATCCTGGAGCCAGTACATGCCCTGTACATTGCAGTGACTAAAGTGCATGATGGCAGCTGCTGCATTATCTCGCTGCTGTCTGCAGCTGGCAAGATAATCGCCTGAGTCCTCCTGAAAAGACGTTTTCCTGAGGCGGAAAACTCCTCCCAGAACCTCAAAGTGGCTTTGGCCATCACATGGCACCACTGACATGATCTTTGCTGCCGCTTAAACTGGGAAAAATTGCAGAATATCGTGATTTGCCTTATTCATTGACCTTATAGGTTTGACTCGGTTATTTTTGGTTGTTCGAAAGTTTATGATACTTGCAAAAGACAAACCTGAAAAAGTCTTAAATCGACCGCCTCACCTGGGAGATGATCACTCCATAATGGTGATTAATCACCATGTTAGCATTTTAAATACAGTCTTGGTCTGCGTATTGAATACCACACTACATGTTAAAAGAGTTCTGGTAAAGCTGCTGCAGATTTATTAGTTCATTGCACAATAATGCCAGTTGTATAATTCCCTGATCAGTCTGCCAGGTACTAAATGATGATACATTATTCTTAATAAAGTCCAGAACCTTGACGTTTGTGCACCAAATTATCATCATGAGCAGAAATATAAATGGTACATTGTATGCATTCTGCGTTGTTTATGTCTTGTTTCAGTGAAAATTGTTGTATTCTCTTAAGGTTTATCCGCATGCAGTACTCAGAAAAGATGAAGGAAAAGAATACAATACAAGATACTGTTGAGATAAGTATAGTAAGATTGATTAGTACAGTACATTACATGAAAGCCCAGGTAAGCTGAACAAATACGAAAAGTGTATCACATCTAGGTAGGAATCTAATTGATTTTATCACTGATGTACAGTTGTCTGCACTTATACCTACATGGTACAGTGGCTGCATTCTGGGTTGTAGGTTTAGATTACATTATTTTCAAATTGGGATGCTTATGTATTATTGCTTGGAGCTGTACTGCACATGTTTCTTTCGCAGCAATCTAAATGGGATGGATATACAGCATCTCCCTTTATTTACAACAAACCAAGTATAATATGTATTTCTCCCCTTTTTTCTCTGGTTTCACTTAACTTTTCCTCTCAGCTTGATTGCAGTTGTCAACTATCACAAAGTTTAAAGTTTATCTCCCCAATCGTAGTAGGAAATGCTAGCAAGCTGTATGCTGTATTAAAATTAAAGGAATCATAGTGTGTGTGTGTGATTCTTATCAGAACATTCAAACATGTAATGTATTTCGGCCTTATCCACCCTGAATTAT